TTGTTTTTTTTTTTTTATTTTATTTTATTTTTTTTAATGGCGCTCCGCGCGTCGTGCCCCAGGCCGCAGAGAGAAGCTGCCCTTCTCCTGGGGCGGCGGCGCGGAGGCGCGAAAGGGCGGTGCGCGCGGCGCGCGCCGCGCGGAGTGCGGCGGCCTGGGATCGGCGGCAGGACCGCATGGGAGACGTGCCTCCTTCTCCTCCTCCTCCTCCTCCTCCCCCTCCTCCTCCTCCTCCTCCTCCTCCTCCTCCTCCGTCCACTCCTCCTCCTCCAACCTCCCTCCCCATCCTCCTCCTCCTCCTCCTCCTCCTCCTCCTCCTCCCCCCTCCATCTCTCATCCTCCACCTCCTCCCTGCTCCTCCCTTCCTCCTCCTCCTCATCCTCCTCCTCCTCCTCCTCCTTCCTCCTCCTCATGCTCTCCTCCTCCTCCTCCTCCTCCTCCCCCTCTCGCTGTCTCCTTTACTCCCCTGCCTCGTCTGCCGCCACCCTCCTCCTCCCTCTCCTCCTCCACCTCCCCTCCTCCTCCTCCTCCTCCTCCTCCTCCTCCTCCTCCTCCTCCTCCTCCTCCTCCTCCTCCTCCTCCTCCTCTGAAAAAACACCCCTCACGAGGGCCAGAAGGCCCAAAGGGGCCCCAGAATGGCGCGAAGGGCTGGGGGCACCCTGGGCCAGGCCCCGCTGGCCCGTGCGGTCGAGGGAAGATCGGGCGACGATGTCCACCCGTAGCCGCTGCTCCCCAGGCCAGGCCCCTCCTGAGCCTCCTGTGCACGCCCTCCTGGCCAGGCCAGGAGGGCGTGGCGCGTACACCGCTCCTGGGTTCAGGATGGGCCTGGCCAGGGAGCAGTGGATGCGCGTAGATTTCTTCACCCCAGACAGGAGAGATTTGCTGCAGAACTGGGCAGGTTCTGGCGGCGGCAAGGGCGACAAGGGCGGCAAGGGCAAGTCGTTCGACAAGGGCGGCAAGGGCAAGTCCTTCGACAAGGGCGGCAAGTCGTTCGACAAGGGCGGCAAGGGCAAGTCCTTCGACAAGGGCGGCAAGTCGTTCGACAAGGGCGGCAAGGGCAAGTCCGACAAGGGTGGCAAGGGCAAGTCTTTCGACAAGGGCAGCAAGTCCTTCGACAAGGGCGGCAAGTTTGGCAAAGGCAGGCCGGTGCCTCTGGAGCCTGGTCTCTATTTTTTTGCTCCGTCATCTGCGTGCGCATGCGTACCCATGCGTGCTTGCTGACGTGTGTGCCCGCAATATCGTTCAAGGTTGTGTAGCTTCCACTGCGCAGCAAGGCTGCAGTGATACTCAAGAGTGAGATTTCACAATCCGCTGTGCGGGTCCAGCTTCCGCGCGGGTTCCTCGCTGACAGAGGCGCGGGTTGTTTGGGGGAGGGGTGGCCAGAGCGAGAGGTGCTCGCAGGGAGCACAAGAAGAGGGGACAATGCGCCAACATCCTTATCCCCGCAGCCCCTCCACCCCTGCCCCACTTCCCAGTTTTCCTTTCTCCTCCCGAAGACACGCTAACGACGATGTAGGAGGACGGCGCTGGGGTTTCGGGACTGCAGGTGGGGGTGGTTCGTGGCCAACCTGGTTGTAGGAACGCGCTGTTCGTGTTCTCCTACAATCTGTTCTGCGCGAATTCGGCGTCGCAAAACAAGTGGCCCGCGTGCCCTGGCTCTTGCACCAAGGAGCTGCGAGGGACAGGAGGCTTTCGCCTCCTTCCTCCAGGAGTCTACTCTTGTGGCCGTGGGGGGGAGGACGAACGACGAACGAGCGCACGACGACGACGAACGAAAATAGAGAGGTCCGAGCTCTGGAGCACAGCTGTGCAGGAGGAGGAGGAGGAGGAGGAGGAGGAGGAGGAGGAGGAGGAGGAGGAGGAGGAGGAGGAGGAGGAGAAGACTCCCAGCATCGCCGCCGACCAGCATGACCGTTGGCGTGGCCCTGGTCCTTCTCCCCCCTCCCACCGCCCGCGCCCGGCCCGCCCCACGCGGGAGGAGGCAGCGGAGCTGGGGCGTGCGGCCGAGGAGAGGCGGAGGAAGGGGGAGGCCTTCGAGGATGAGCTGGACCCTCTCCTCCCGCCCCACTTTTTTTTTTGTTGTTGTTTTTTGTTTTGTTTTTGTTTTAAATTGTATTTTTTTATTTATATATGTATATATATATTTATATATATAATGTGTGTTTAAATATTAGTTTGCTTGTTTTTTCTTTCCTGCTGCATGCGAATGCTGTCGTACCCTTCCTGGTCGTGTGCCTCCAGGTCCATCCTGGCCCCTGGACTGGTGTGTGGACCTCCAGGCCTGGGCTAGGCGGGCCTCTACGCCAGTCCGGGGCCCCAGCCCGGGGCCCCAGCCCGGGGCCCTGGCTGGGCCTGGCCAGGGCTGGCGGGTGGTATATCGTTTGGAGCTCTCTTGCCCCCCTCACCCACTCTTCCTTCCCCCTCCCTCCTCCTCCTCCTCTCCTCCTCCTCCTCCTCCTCCACTCCTAACCTCCTCCTCCTCCTCCTCCTCCTCCTCCTCCCTCCTCCTCCTCCTCCTGGTGGTGGTGTATTGTGTGGATCTAGGCCTCCTAGATGAGGTCGGAGTAGCTGGGGTCGGAGGGTCGCGCCGCATCGGCGATGCATCGGCGATGACCAGGGATGTGGAGCCTGGTCTTCTCCACGCGGACGTCGCCGCCGTATCGCCGACATCGCCGATGCATCGTCGATGCATCGCCGATGCATGCGCCGATGCATCGGCGATGCGGCGCGGTCCGCCGACCCCTATCTACTCGGACCCCATCTCGGAGCTCTCCTACCCCCTTCCCCCACTCCCCTTGTCCTTCCCCCTCTCTCCGCTAGCCCTCTTCCTCCTCCCCCCTCCTCCTCCGCTCTCCTCCTCCTGCTCCTCCTCCAACGCCTCCTCCTCTCCTCTTCCTCCACGCTCTCTCCTCCTCCTCCTCCTCATCCTCCTCGCTCCTCCTCCTCCTCCTCCTCCTCCTCCTCCTCCTCCACTCCTCCCCTCCTCCTCCTTCTTCTCCACTCCCCGTGCCCTTTCCCCCCCTCGGCCAGCCTGAGGGCGCCCGCGCGCGACTCCCCGCACTCCGCCGGGGCTCGCGACGGCGGAGAGGCCCCCCCCCTCCCCCGCGAGACGAGGCGACCCTCGCGGTCCCTGCAAGGGCCCCTTGCCCGAGTGCAGGGCCCCCCTCCCTCTGGGTTATGATGCTCCAACCTACTTTAGCCTTGATCGCCAGAGAGAATTTCGAGCGCCAGAAAAAGTACCGAAACTCAAGGGTTTTCACGTGTCGGGCCCTGGGAGACACTCGCCCGACACTGTTTCGACACTGCTTCGACACTCTTTTGACACTTTTCCGGGTGCTCGAAATTATTTCTGGGATGTGGTCCTTAAGTAGGATGGGAACAACAGAACCCCTGGGAAGGATCGGCCGCGTGCGAGGGGGGGAAGTGAGAAGGAGCAGGCCTTCTCAAAAGGCTCGGAATTCCCCCGGCCTTCTGAGAGGTTTCCGGAGCCTTCCCCGAAGACACGGGAATCTCCTCAGAAGGTGCGGGGGCTTCTGAGAAGCCCCGCCGCCTTCTGAGAGGGCCTTCTCCTTCTCATTTCCCCCGAGGCGGCAGATCCAATAAATCCAGCGCGGACCGCCGAGAGTTTGTGTTTATGCCGCTTCCAGAGCCGTCGCAGCAAGGTCGCTTCGGAGCCCTCTCTGGGTCGTGGCTCCTCTGCCAAAAGGAGGCTGCGTCCGACGCCTCCGCCGCCAGCGCAGTGGGAGCACACCAATCCACCGCCCCCTCTGCCCTCTCCACCTCTGCCCCTGTTTCCCCCCTCTCTTCCTGCCCCCCCGCTCGCCGCCTCACCCCGTCGCCGCCGCCGTCTTCGCCCACGTCGTCGTCGTCGTCGTCGTCGTCGTCGTCGTCGTACAATAATCATCGTCGTCACCATCACCATCACCATCACCATCACCATCACCATCACCATCACCATCACCATCACCATCACCATCACCATCACCATCACCATCACCATCACCACCATCACCATCACCATCACCATCACCATCACCATCACCATCACCATCACCATCACCATCACCATCACCATCACCATCATCATCATCATCATCATCATCATCATCAATATCGACATTCATCATTATCGTCATCATCACCGTCATCGTCGTCATCGTCATCATCATCACAGTCACCATCACCATCACCATCATCACCATCACCACCACCACCACCATCGCCACCATCATCGCCATCACCATCGTAATCATCATCATCACCATCATCAGCATCATCATCATCATGATCATCATCATCACCATCGTCACCGTCATCGTTATCATCATCATCAGCATCACCTTCATCATCACCTTCACCATCACCATCGTCATCGTCATCGTCATCGTCATCGTCATCGTCATCTTCTTCGTCGTCGTCGTCGTCGTCATCGCCCCGGGTGCCCCCACGGCCTGCCGGCGGAGGCGGCGGCAAGTGGTGAGCGGGCTGCCGCTCCTGTGGCTGCCGAGGACCGGCAGGGCTGCTGTCCTCCCCGGGGACTCGGGGGCGGCAAAGAGGGGGGTGATGACCAGGGGGGGGTGGATGTCATGGCGGGGGCCACGATATCTCCCCAATTTCATGGCGCCGCTTCTTACTTCATTGCGTCCCTGGCCCCCCCGCTGGGCCGCGCACATGCCGCCGGTCATGATTTGCAGCCCCCCCCTCTTGGACACCCCCCTCTTTGCCGCCCCCGAGGGGAGGAGCGGGATTCGGGGCAGACTCTGGGCTCGAGGTCCGAGGAGCGAACTCTCCAAAGTTTGACGTTTGCTGACGTTTTGGCTCCTCCTGGGCCGTCGCCACGGCTGGATCCTCGTCTGGGGAGGAGCGGGGGTCGGGGGGGAAGACTGGGCTCGAGGTCCGAGGAGCGAGCCTCAGAATTTCGAGACGATTTTTGGACGTTTTGCTTCGCTTCGTGGGCCGGGGCCGCGGCTGGATCCGCGTGGAATTTTTGGCCAGAGCGCACCCCAGCCCAAGATGGACAGGGGGGTACAGTCGGTGCGCTGAAGAGGGAACCCTTTTTGTTAGGGAGGGGCTCCGCGTTCTTATTTGTTTCACAGTTTGCCTCAGGTTTGCCTTCGGTTTTCGATGGGGAATCGAAGTTCAACTTTTGGAAAAGAAGGGCTTCGTTCCTGATTCAGGGTTCCTTAGGTCAACGCCCCGACGGTATGGACTCGAGGTCCGAGGAACGAATTCTTCAAAGTTCGACGTTTCTTGACTTTCTGCTTTCTTGGGCTGTGGCCACGGCTGGATCCGTGTTGAAGTTTTGGCCAGGGCGCACCCCGGCCCAGGTTGGGCTGGGGGATAGATTTTCGACCCCCAGGTGCCAGGGTATTTGTTTTTTTTCAGACTGGCAAATTTTCTTGCATGGACCGGGGGGGATGGCTGAACCTGAAGCAAGCCGCAAACGATTTGCAGGTGCGGACTTCACGCACGTCGCAAGGCACTTGCACGCTAGTATTCGTTTGAAGAGGGGCGAAAGGGGGGGGGGGGGGGCGAACGCCATGCAAGTAAACTTGCGGGACTCTAAAAAAAACAAGTTAGTTCATGGGCAGGGGGTTAGATTTTCGACCCGCAGGTGCCAGATCCTCTCGCGTCGCGAAGGAACAAACACGGCGGGAGGTTTTTGGGCGGTCTTCGGCCTCCAGGGGATCGCTGCCAGGCCCTGGGGCCCAATAAGACATGGCTCGGGGTAAAGAGCCGGTCTCTCAGGACATGGATTTCGAGACTTCTGGGGTGAGAGTCCATCGTCGTGGACGACAATCAATGGAGAGGAAGCGTGTTGCCAAATGATATTCCGTTGTCTAAACATGTTTCAACATGTCTTAACCATGTGAATCACATTTTTAAACATGTGTAGAGCATGCTACAAACATTTTAAACACATTGTTAATTCAATGCTAGGGTTGTTAGGATGTCCATTGTCATGACATTCACAAATCTACCGAGTCGACTTTCGAATCCCAAAAGACGACGCAGGCAATCTTTCGGAGGCGTGCGCGGATTTCTTGTGTCCGCGATGGACCTGTCCTAGAGTCGGACCGAGGTACAAGATCGGTGTCGATTCGGCAGGTTGCCCTGACGTTCTTCGTGCTTGTTGGATGCTCTGTGCGCACCCTGGGGAGGGTATCCTCGAATGCTCTTCCTTTTGGCCCGTGGAGGGCCTCATGCCCTTGAAGCATGTTCTTCTTTCCTGGGTCCGCCTGTGCTTCCCTGACAGCGCCTCCGGAAAACCCGCGAGCTCCGCGCGCCGGGCAGGGGGAGTGGGGATGGGGGCGGGGGGGAGGAGGAGGAGGAGGAGGAGGAGGAGGAGGAGGAGGAGGAAGAGGAATATGAAGATGAATTTGAGGATAAGGAGAAGGAGGAGGAGGAGGAGGAGGAGGAGGAGGAGGAGGAGGGAGAAGGAGGAGGAGGAAGAGGAAGAGAATATGAGGAGGAGGAGTTGGAGGAGAAGGAGGAAAGAGGAGAAAGGAGGAGGAGGAGTAGGAACAGGAGGAGGGAGGAGAGGAGGAGGAGGAGGAGGAGGAGGAGGAGGAGGAGGAGGAGGAGGAGGAGAGAGCGCTCCGCGCGCCAGGAGGGGGTGTCAAGTGTCGACCCAAGACAACCGCGCGAACCAATGACAATTCGGGTTTTTGCGCTTTTCGCTGCTCCTACAACCCTTCTCGAAATCAAACGCAAGTTTTTGATGTTGGTCGACGCGCGAAACGCGGCCCACGGGGTCAGATTTCTGCGTTTGCAGTCGCCAATGTCGGCGTGAGCGTTTAATTTTTGGGGCCCTTGGGGCGCCGCCATGTCGCGAGAAAAACGTTGGTTTGATTTCGAGGAGGGATGTTCGGTCTCAGGGGTTCTGGAGAGAGGGGCTGATCCTTCCTTCTTCAGCTGCCCCGCTTGCCAGCGTTCCTGTGACAGTCTGATCACAAGGAGCAGGAGGAGAAGGATTTGACGTGTTGTGGATTTTGTGGCCCCTGGCCTCCCCGTGGCCGCGGCTGGACTTGGCAGCAATCGGCCTAGGCGGCTTCTGGGATGGAAAGGGCTTGGAGGTTCTATCTCTGAGCGTCCTGGGGGCCCCTCGTGGCTTGGGAGGGCTCCCGGTGGCTGGCTTCGAGCCAGAATGCACGGGGACCTTCCTCAGACCTCCTGGGCGCCGCGAACCAAAGCACGGCGTTTTTTTTGTTGCTAGGCTGTCTTTTACGACGTCGGCGGTCGTGGGGCCAGCTCTGGGCTTGGGGAACGAGGCGCGCCCGCGGCGCGGAGCTGGTCCTGGGGGTGAGGTCGAGAGGTCCTGGGCCCTACGTTGTAGAATCACGACGTCTGGGCGGCGCGCCAAAGGGTGAAGACGCAGGCAGGGGAGAGTGGTGCTCTGGATTTTTGTTGCGTGCTTTTGCTGAGCATGAATGAATGCAGTGATCGTAGCGATGACGATCCGGATGGCAGGGTACTGGTGACGGCGGCGAAGAAGGCGGCAGTGAATGCGATTGTGATGGTGATTGCGATGGTGATGGGTGGTAGCAAACATGATGCGGACGTTTGTCGGCGTCGACGATGGCAGGATGATGTGGGCGAGGCCTCCTTACAATTCGGGCTTGCTCGCCTGTCCCTGGGCCAGGGGGGCTTGTTTGCTCCCCAAGCAGTGCTTCCACTTAGGGGTTCTTGCCTGCGTTTCTGAGGACTTGGATGGGTGTTCCGAGGATTCGCCACGCTCTGGCCTCTTCCAGCTCTGCTGTCCCCCTTTGCCGCCTGTGGGGGTGCCCCAGGGATCCGCCATGTTGCGGCCCGATGCCATTTATTATTATCAGCATCATCACTATCATTATTATTACTATTATTATTTTTATCATCATTATTATGATTATATTATTACTATTGTTATTATAATAATTACTATTATTATCATTATTACTGTTATGATTATCATCATCTATTATTAGTATGATGATTCTTCTTCTTCTTCTTCTTCTTCTTCTTATTACTATTAGGATTATCATTATTATGGTTAGTAGTTTGTTATAGTTTTTTTGTATTTTTATGTTTTTATGTTTTTGTTTATACATCTAACGGGGGACCGGGTCCGGGGGCCCGGGGCCGGGACCTCGACCGCAAATGTGGGCTCCGGGGGGCCCGGAGGCTCGTCGGGGCTTGCCGGAGGCCTCCCCGGTCAGACAAGAGGGCCCCAGAAGCGCCCAAGACGGCCCAAGAAACTTCCAAGAGGCCTCCAAGAGGGCTCCGAGATGCTGAAGATGGCCTCCAGACGTCCAAGGACGCCCCCAAGAGGCCCCAAGAAGCCTCCAACATGCGTCCCAAGAGGGCCCCTAGACGCAAAAATTTGCCCATTCCCTTCGTAAAACGTACATTTTCAACAAAGTTGCTTTTGGGCTTTCCGACGTTACAGGACGGCCCAAGAGGCGCCCAAGACCGCCCCAAGACGGCCCAAGAAGCTTCCAAGAGGGCCCCAGGACAGCCCAAGAGGGCCCCAAGACGGCCCAAGAGGCGCCCAAGATGGCCCAAGAGGGCCCCAAGACGGGCCCAAGAGGGGGCCCAGAGGGGGACCACGAACCGCAAGCTCGAGCCTTCCGCCCCAAGAGGCCGCCAGGAGGCCCCCAGGAGGCCCCTCAAGAGGCCCCAGGAGACCCCCAAGAGGCCCAAAGGAGGCCCCGAGAAGCCCCAAATCGGCCCCCCAAATGCTTCGAACCTGCTTCCAGGAGGCCCCCGACAGGTTCAGAGGCTCCCAAGAAGCTACGTCAAACTCCCAGCGAGCGGCCGGACGAGGCCCCCCAAAAAATCCCAAGAGGGTTCCAGTATTTGTATCCTTCAGCGCTCTCTGGCCTTCTTCCCCCTGCCCCCTTCCCTGCGACTTTCGTTGACTCAAGCTCGCCTCCTCTCCATTTCCTCTCTCTGCCTCTCTATCTCTCTCTCTGTCTTCTTCTCTCTCTCTCTCTCCATCTCTCTCTCTCTCTCTCTCCTTCGCTCTCTGTCTGTCTGTCTCTCTCTCTCTCCCTCTCTTTCTCTCTCTTTCTCTTTCTTCCTTTCATATTCCGTGTCCTTGCGACCTTCTGCAGTCCCCGACGTCGCCACGGCTGGATTCGCTCGAGCGTGTCTTGTGATGTGCGGCGGTGCGAAGCCCGTCCCACTGATCAAGGCACAGGTACGAAATGATGGGTCCATCATTTCTTGCCTTCCCATGTGCGTTTTCCCAATCGATTCCTGGGCCCGAGGTCGCAAAAATTACGACGTCGGAGGTCTGGGGAGGCGGGAAGCACGACCTGGACCTCCGACGTCTTGGAAAAATCACGACGGCGGTTTCGGTCAATTTTCGGCCTCCGGGGCCCCTCGCAGGGTCCCGGGACCGTCAGAAAACGACTCAGGATGAAAAAAAACACATCCCCAGGAAGTCGTCGAGAGGTCCAGGGGCCGCGCACAGAAAGCATCACGACATCGGACGTCCAGAGAGGAGGTAGGAACACGAGGAGGAGGG